CTCTTCTCTCAATGTTTGCAAAACAATTCTCACATGTTCAACATGTTCTTGTAAGTTTTTAGAATACACTAAGATATCATCAAAGTACACAACAACAAACTTACCAATATAATGCCTCAATACATGATTCATTAATCTCATGAAAGTACTAGGAGCATTAGTTACCCCAAAAGGTATCACTAACCACTCATACAAACCAAATTTTGTTTTGAAAGCAGTTTTCCATTCATCTCCTTGTCTAACTCTTATTTGATGGTATCCAAATTTTAAATCCAATTTAGAAAAGATAGTAGCACCATAAAGATCTTCAAGCATATCATCTAATCTAGGGATTAGATGTCTATACTTAATAGTTATCTTATTAACAGCACGGCAATCTATGCACATACGCCATGTACCATCTTTCTTAGGCACAAGTAAAATAGGAACAACACAAGGCCTGAGAGATTCTCGAATTTGACCTTTAGCAAGGAGTTCTTCAACTTGCTTTTGTAGTTCCTTCGTTTCCTCAGGATTTGCTCTATAGACAGGTCTATTCGGAATGACTGCGCCAGGAATTAGATCAATTTGATGTTCTACTCCTCGTATAGGAGGAAGTTCATAAAGCAACTCCTCGGGGAATATGTCCTCGTACTCTTGAAGTAGCCTTTGAAACACCTTAGGCAAATTGCTAGGAACTTCAGTTAGTAAAACAGAATTATCACAAAAAAGCATTAAAATTATACCTGTTTCTTTTGCAAAACACTTCTCCACCGATTTGGGACTAGCGGAGAAATTTTTGCCCACTGGCTCTCGAATGTGTAGACCATTTGGAGATCTCTTTGAAACGTCCAAGGTAGATTTATCTTTAGGACTCTACTCTTTCCTTTGTCTCTCTCTCTCTCTCTTGAATCATTATCAGATTACATTCATGAACTTGAGGAGGTGAAAGAGGTGATAGGGTATAGTTACGACCAGGTGATAGGGGATAGTTACGGCCAGTTATCACAAACGAATACTTGTTTGTGTATCCATCATGCTTTACTCTTCGATCGTACCCCCATGGTCGTCCTAAAAGTAGGTGACTTGCCTCCATACGTACCACATCACAAAGTGCTTCATCCTCATATTTTCCAATAGAGAATGGTACATTCACTTGCCTACTGACTCTAAGATTGCCACAATCCTGCAACCATTGCAACCGATAGGGTGTCGGATGCTTGATAGTAGGTAACTTCAGATTATCTACAACATATGAATTAGCAACGAAAGTACACGATCCTGGATCTATAATAGTTAAGCATAACTTGTCCATAACTCGACACTTAGTATGGAAAATATTATGTCTTTGCTGATCATCTTCAGCTACTTGAGTTTGTGATGCTCGAAGGTTGACAAACACTTGTCCAGCCTCAGCATCAATCTCTACAACTTCTTTCTCGACTTCTTCAACAAGTCCTGGCATCTCGTCATCTTCTTCATCTGTTTCACTTTCGAAAATTCCATCCTCTTTAAGGATCATAGTCTTTAAAGTTGGACAATCAGAAGCTATATGTCCTCGTCCCTGACATTTGAAACAAGTAACATCTCTAGTTCTGACTTTGTTAGTATTACTAGATGAAGTAGAATTCTTAACTTTAGAAGATGGTTTAGGAATATTAGAAGTATTAGAAGCATTAGAACTACTTCCCTTTTCAAACTTTGAAGAATTACCATACTTCTTTGAATCATCTTTCTTCCATGGTGTAGAAGACTTATGTGAATTTGACTTCTTCTTTGCCAACTGTCTCTCCACAATCCTAGCTTTGTGTAACATCTCACTTGGATCTAGGTAGTGTGAAAGCTCCACAACATCGGCAATGTTTTTGTTAAGTCCTCCTAGAAACCTCGCCATCATAGCTTCAGGCTCCTCTTTAATATTTGCGCGTATCAATGCCAACTCTAGATCTTGATAGTATTCATCAACAGACTTGGTTCCCTGTGAAAGGCTTTGAATTTGCTTACACAAATCTCGATAATAATAAGAGGGAACAAACCTTTTGCGCATGAGTCTCTTCATTTCATCCCATATGGATACGGGATCCTCATCATAGAGCTTCCTATCCTTGAAAACTTGGTCCCACCATTCTAAGCATAGTTATTGAATTGGTAAACAGCCATTCTAATCTTCTTAGAACCATCAGAATCCTGCAATGAAAAAGCACGCTCTACCTTCTTTTCCCATGTAAGATAGGCTTCAGGGTCATTAGTACCACTAAATTCAAGAATTTTAACTTTGAAATTTCCAAGTTCATAAGGATCATTGCTATTGACAACACGATGAGCTCTATTACGATTTTCATTACCTTCATTACCTTGAGCACGACCATTGCGAACCTCTAGTTCTAGATCTTGTATTCTACTACATAATTGAGTAGTAACATTATACAATCTAGCAAGAGTTTCTCGCATAGCATCTTGAGAGCGGTCGTCTCTTTGCTCATTATCATCTACAGATGATATCCTTTAAGATCAAAGAACAAACAAGTATATAGGATATTAGTAGAAAACCTTCCTACCTCACTTCCCCTAACCAATGATCTTTTTCTTTTTCCCCCCTTTTGGTAGTATCACACACAACTCACCTTTTGTATGCTCTCTTTGGGATTTATTTGGTTTTTTCCCCAATATCAAAGTGGAATAGAAAGAAAAACACTCAAGCCTTTTACCACTCAAAGACCTTTGGTAAAGTTCCGGATCGGCTTCCATGTTCAAGTAGTAGCAATATGCACCACGACAATTAATTAAACAATCCACTCGAATAAATCACTCAAAAACAGACAAAATCAATTAGCACGTAGAGTAAATTTAGGGAAATTCCAGAAAAGAATGAGAGAGAACACGAATCTCGTTCGAGTGTTTGGAGAAAAATAGGGATCTTGCTTTAGAAGTATAAGCAAACTCAGATTATATCTCAGACTCTAACTCAAACTCAAACTCTAATAGGATAAGGATAAGATTTTATCCTATTTTTAAGATAAGATAATGATAAGATTTAGAGAGAATTTTATCTTTTACAAGATGAGATAAAGATAAGATTTTATCCTTTACAAGATAAGATAAGGATAAGATTTAAAGAGAATCTTATCTTTTACAAGATGAGATAATGATAAGATTTTATCCTTTACAAGATAAGATAAGGATAAGATTTAAAGAGAATCTTATCTATTACAAGATGAGATAAGGATAAGATTTTATCTTTTACAAGATAAGATAAGGATAAGATTTAAAGACAATCTTATCTTTTGAGAGAATATAGGCAATTGAATAGCAAAGATAAACTCCCAATCAAACACAACTTTATCTAACCTTCTTAGATAGAGATAGACTTTGAATATACCTCTTCAAGAAGATTCTTTCCAACTTTACTTCCAACTCTTTTGAAATCTCCTAATGCAAGGCAACATTTAATTTACCTTATCAAAGAAGACTCCTTTTCTTCTATGCCGTCTTGATTTTCTTTTTTTTTTCTTTTTTACACAGCTATTTCTCTTTTTTTTTTTGTGATATAGGGGCGGCCGAAAGAACCCTTGACTCAAACATATTTTTTTTTGTACGGCCAAATCAAACAAACACCTTCAACACAAAAGATTCTCGAACAATGAATGAATGAACATCAATCACCCTCAAGATATAGAGGTCTTGGATCGAGAGATATATGTCAATCACAATCACCAAAGTTTGCTATTGGATGATAAACAAAATGAAAGGCAAGAAACTAAAAGGAATTGTCCAAGTGGTGAACAACTCAAAAACAAAATATTACGAATACCCTCTTTTGGGAGAGGAAAATTTGAAAAAAAAAAACAAGAAAGAACAAATAATCCGAATTTTGAGACCAATTATGGTAACCAAAGATGACTCTTGATATACCAATTATGGCTCTAAATATGCCAACTATGGTAAAACCATAAGAAGGCTCTGATAACCAAAAATATTATAGCAATCCGTGACAAAGCCAATCTTAAGGAAAGATCAACTTTGCCAATTCAGAACGACAGAGATTTGTAGGCAGCGGAATTTGGAGAATTCCGATGTAATGACACAAAAAAATACGAAAAGATATTTGATCTCACGTGGATCAATTCACGAGTTCAATGGTAGAACAACCCAATTCAAGAATGAAGAGAGCTATTTCTAACCAAGTAGAGACCCCTTGGAAATTTGTGTAGGAAAACCCAACAGATATGAGATCTATGAGCTTAAGGTCCAAAATTCAAAAGATCCAATGCTAAAGACGCCACTATCAAGTGAACTAAACAAGATAGATAAGTCTAATAATTGTCACAACACATATGCAACAACTAAACAAAGAACTCCTTACAAAAACTGCACGAAAGGAATAAAATCCTAACCAATTTGATTTCACTCAGGAAAATATGAAGGACACAAGGTGTGTTGGACAAGAGAAATTTGGTCCCTATTTATAGAGGGGGTGGCCAAATTTTCTTCCCAAGAAGTAGAGGAAGAACACAACTCTTCATCTCTATTCCTATCTCTAAGAATTTGAAATCAAATCAAACTCTAAAGACTCCTAGTTATCTTAAGTGATAAGGTAACGAACCTAGACACTTTTACTAGTCTTAAAACATTTAAGACTATGTAGGAATTAACTAAAACTCAAAATACAAAGAGATAACCTCTTAGAAAGATTCCTATGGATAGAATCTCCCTTGAGTTAAAACTCTATCATCATCTTCTTTGTAGAGTGATCTTAGCCATCCATCTTGATGTAGTTTTCATCCAACGGTTGAGTAGACATCAAAAGTTGACTCCTTATTGTAGGAAAACTCGAAAATAAGATAAAAGGAATCATCCCAAATATTATCTTTTAAAGAGATAAAGTCTTATCTTTCAAAGAGATAAAATTTGAATGATCTCACCCCTAAACTTTAGGGATCTATTCGACCTCCATAAGGAGTGTGGCCGGCGGTTCTCCTTGGATTGAGGGCCGAAAATTCTTCTCTCCAAATGGGGCCAAATCAATTTGGTGTCACTTGCAACAAATTAATAGTCTTGGGCTTGTAATCGTCAAGCTTAATTTCTTCCTTAGCCCATGTAGTAGTAATTAGACTATTAAGTGATTCATCCATCCTCTTGCGTCTAGCACGAGTCATTGGTCCAACAATGTCTGAGAGTGGATCGTGGATGTAAGAAGTATTCTTCAGAGCAGCATCTTTAGATCCTCCATTAGCATTCACGACCTCAACTTGCTCGTCCTCTCCATTATTGGCTGCAACATGTCCCTCTCCATTAGTGTTAGCTCGATGGTCTCCATCAGCGTGACAATGTAACCTTGTACACCCTGGTATTACTACTACGAACCCCCTGCGAGGGACTAGGGATAGGTGGAGGAATGGAATGGATATACCCAATCTGACGCAATACTCGTGTAGGCAAGTATGGCTCAATAATATCTCACTATTGTATCCAGTCATTTTACATGGTCCTCGGATCATCGACAACATGATCGATGCAATAAGGCAACGATGTCACTTACACAAAAACATAATATAATTTAACAATGATATTTTCCATAATAATTCATAATGAAGAATGCTAAATGTGATATACATCCGCGGTTGTCAAGCCGTCGATCTGCGGCCGAAGCTTCTTCAAATAGTCTGCACTATTATCAAGAACTGGGACACTCCACCATCCAGCTCGGGGCACTGCAGGATCCCTTGAGGCACGACCTGCACTTGGTCTAAAACTTGGAAAGTATTCATATATCCACGCCTGAAGTAGGGTGTAGCACCCAGACATTGAGGCATTTTGTGATCTGGTGGACACGCCTAGCTGACGATAGAGATAGGCTAGAGTAGCAGAGCCCCATGAAATTTCGTGACATGTGGCTAGGCCTTCAATAATCTCGGAGAGGATCGCCACTCCAATTCGAGTCCTGCTCCTATCGGTAAACAATATGTTCCCTAACATGAGCCATAACCAGGCGATCACCTGATTTCGAGCAGACCGACCAGTATGGCAATGCTCCACGACAACCTTCCCCTGAACCCCTCCACTCTGATATGCTCCAGTAGCGGTTAGACTGTCACCAGAAAAGTCCAACATCCTCATGGCAAAATCATGACAATCGTTAGACCCAGGTTATTCTGTAATCAATCTACCATCAAGGGGAATACCCAATATCGTCGCACATCATGCAACATGATGGTCATCTCCCCAAAAGGCATGTGGAACGTGTTGGTGTCCGGCTGCCACCTCTTCACGAATGCTGTAATGAGTGCCTGATCAATGTTGTTGTACATGATGTCCACAATATGGGACAACTCTGTACGCTCCAACAAGTTCTTCCCCTCTGTCTCCATGGCACCCTTCCAATCTTTCAATGACTTGAAGTATGTGATTCTCGTATCCATTTTGAAGGGGTTTTTATGCGAGTCCTCCGTTAAGAGATGGGCCACATGCCCAAGAAAACTGAGAATTACAGAACTGTCCTGAGGGCCACTCTTAACTGGCGTCGTCACAAACCAAGTGCCGGCACTGCTCACTGAAATTATTGTAAATAAATCATACACTTTTTTTCTTCCAAAATCTTTGAAAAAAATATTATAAGTTAAAAAAATTAAACCCTATACATTAATTTCTTACCTGATGATGATGATGATACAAATGCACTGCGGGGCAAACGGACAACAATGCATGGTCTAACTGAAGGTGGAGGTCTAAATGAAGGCGGAGATTTAACTACAGAGGGAGGTCTAACAGGAGGTGGAGATGAAAGTGTGTCATCTTCGAAATCATCGTACCCTTTCGAGTCGAAATCTTCAAACGGAACATTATCTTTGCCAATGACATTCTCCTGGTCCAGACAAGTCTGATCAAATACCTTGTCAAGTCTCTGACTACTATTGGCCAAATCCACCCTGTCAACATGGGCCCTCCTGAGCATAATATGGGACTGCGCAAATGGATCCATTTGTGATACATCCTCAGTATCTCCAGCACGTGCAGATGCATAAACTTTTCGACCACGCAAGTCCCGTGTACCTGACCCAACCATCAATGAAGGATTAGGTACCATTGGCCTTGTCTTTTTTTTTTTTTTTCCTTTAACCTACATTGATTAATATGCATAACTACTCCATTACAATAATGCAAATGTAAATTAGTATATAATAACACATAAATTAAAACATGCACTAATTATTTAAAATATAACAAATATTGTCTTTAAACTATGATTAAATAATTATAACATATTTAAATTAGTGCTAAAATTATTATAACACATAAATTAAAACATTCACTAATTATTTAAAATAACTATACCATGTTTAAATTATAACATATTTAAATTAGGGCTAAAATTATTATAACACATAAATTAATACATGCACTAATTTTTAAAAATTTTAGAAATATTTATTTAAAACTATGATTAAATATTTAAATAATTAGTGAAAATATAATCAATAACTAAAATAAATGTAACAACTATATAACAATAACACAAAAATATAATTAATACTCCCCCCGTCCCAAAATTATTGTTCAGTTTGAATTTTTATTTTAGTTCAAATTGTACTAAAAGTGAAATCTCAAAGTGGACAATAATTTTGGGACAGAAGGAAACCTAAATTAAATTTCATTTACATAAACAACAATTATTAATACTACTCATTAAATTTAAAAAATATAAACAAAAAAGACTAATACTACTCATTTTAAAAAAGTAATTATTGAAAAATATAATAAATAAATATAAAACAAAAAAATTTTAAAAAAATTAAAAAATAAATTCTGGTCTTGGGTAGCCGGCGTAAAACCGGCTGCCCGTGGAGGACCAGCCGGCCCGAGACCGGCTACCCAGGGAGAGGTAGCCGGTCCGGAACCGGCTACTCGGGGAGAAGTAGCCGTTTTCTCCCCAGCTAGTCGGTTCCGGATCGGCTACCTCTCATTGGGTAGCCGGTTTCGGGCCAGCTGGCCCTCCTTGGGTAGCCGGTCGATGGTCGGCTACCTTCGACCAGAATTTTTTTTTCTAAGGTTTTGGGCCAAAAAAAACTTACTGGTGGCGTGGGTGGTTGTTTTCCGCGATCCGTCATTGTTTTAGCTTCCGAATCTTTGTAGATCTAAATTTGAAAGATGGGGGTTTTTGGTTTTTTGTTTGAGGTTGGAGAAAATAAAAGGTAAAGAATAGGAGGAAGGGGAAGAATAAAGGAGAAGAATAGGAGGAAGAGGGGCAAAATTATCCTAAATGACTGCAAGTGAGCATTTTGTATAATTGCAAAGAGCAATTCAGTTTGTTTTTTTCCTGGGGGCTAGTTTATTTTGTTTGCCTACATTTTGGAAATTGTTGATGATCGAATTTGTGTATAAATGCATTTGGGATTGTGATAAAGTAGGGGAGCAGTCGTGGACTGTTTTGAATTAGGGCTTTTTTTTTTTTGTTTTTTTGGAGAGCTAAATGGAGGGTGCGGATGGAACCAACGATGATCAGACTTTAAGGGTTAATTTTAGCAGCAAAGGCGTGTTGAAGTTCAGAGAGAATGTTAAGGAGAAGCTGAAGGGAGTATATGGGGGGATTATGCAGATGATACTTTGGTGGTAATTTTTTTTTCATATTTTTTCCATCGTCAGTTATATGAGGATTTTATGCTAGCCATGGATTTTTCTGGGAAGAAAATTGAATTGTTCATGTGCCAACATTATTTGTTTATCTCAGCATCTCCTTGTCTCCTGTTTCTTCTGGGTGAGAAACTCTGTATATGTGATTAGAAATGGTAGGTATAAGTTTGGTGAGGGTTATGCTGAAGTATATCTCCTGCCCAGCGAGCCCTTTTTGTGATTGTGTTGGATGTGGCTTAACTGTTATGAATTTGATACTTTGGTGGTCCTGAAGGTAGATATTTTGATTTTCATTATGTTCGTTTTTTCTCTCTTTGTTCTTTCAATCTGAATTTTCTCTCTGTTCCATTTAAAGCTCCTTTTATCTTTCTTGAATTTTTGAGTTGCTGTGTGTGAACACTAGAAAGGTTCATACTTATTATGATCGGAAGGAAACAATACTATATTCATCTGAACCACCATCAGTGTACAAGGAAACATATATATACATGTGCATGTGGAATTACCAAAATGACCCTATATGTATTACTAACAGTAACAACTCTAACACTCCCCCTCAAGTTGGAGCATATATATCATATGCACCCAACCTGTTACAAATATACTCAATTCGGGGGCCACGTAAGGGCTTAGTAAGTACATCAGTCAATTGATCATTTGAGCTAGCAAAGTGAGTCACAATATCTTTAGCTAGGAGTTTCTCACGGACAAAATGACAATCTATTTCAATATGTTTTGTCCGTTCATGGAAAACAAGATTAGAAACAATATGCAACGCGGCCTGATTATTGCATAACAACTTCATCGGAGAAGACACAGGTTCACCTATCTCAATCAAAAGAATTTTTAACCAAATAAGCTCACAAGTCGCAAGAGCCATGGCTCAATATTCAGCCTCTGCACTGGAGCGAGCAACAACAGTCTATTTCTTACTTTTTTAAGAAATAAGATTGCCTCCATAAAATACACAATAACCAGACGTTGAATGCCTATCAACAGGGGATCCAGCCCAATCTGTCACAATATCCTAAGATCTCACAATGGCCATGATTCTTATACAAATTACCCTTTCCTGGAGCATTCTTTATATAGCAAAGAATCCGAATAACAACATCCCGGTGAGGAACCCGAGGAGAGTCTAGGAATTGACTAACAACACTAACTGCAAAAGAAATATCTAGACCGGTAACTATCAAATAGTTGAGCTTACCAACCAGCCGTCTATATCGACTTGGGTCACAAAACTTGTTTCCCTCATTTGGTAACAGTTTTAAATTAGGATCCACAGGAGGGTCACATGGTCGAGAGCCAAGCATACCTTCCTCTGAAAGTATATCAAGAGAATACTTTCTCTGAGACACGAAGATGCCCTGAGATGAGGGAGCAACTTCAATGCCTAAGAAGTACTGAAGAGGACCCAAATCTTTGGTCTGAAATTGAGATTGTAGAAAAGCTTTCAAAGCATCAATACCACATGAATCATCACCAGTAATAAGAATGCCATCGACATACACAACCAAAAGGATACATCTACCAGTGGAAGAGGTCTTGAAGAACACTGAATGGTCTTTAACCGAGCGACGAAGGCCAAACTTTAAAACAGTATCGCTAAAGCGACCAAACCATGCTCTAGGAGATTGTTCCAAGCCATAGAGAGCCTTCCTGAGGCGACAAACAACAGGACCACACTCCCCCTGAGCAACAAAACCATGTGGTTGCGCCATAAACTTCTTCATGAAGATCCCCATTCAAAAAAGGCATTTTTAACATCAAGTTGGTGAAGTGGCCATGAGTAATGAACCGCCAAAGCAAAAAAATAGGCAGATAGATGACATTTTAGCAACAGGAGGATATGTGTGTCTTCATAATCAACATCAAGAAGTTGGGTGAAACCTTTTGCAACAAGACGGGCTTTGAGTTTATCAATAGACCCATCAGGAGAAAACCTTGACTATATAAACCCATCTACAACCAACATTGGACTTGCCTCGAGGAAGAGGAACTACATCCCAAGTATGATTAGAATGTAAAGCATTGATCTCATCAAGCATAACAGCACGCCAACGAGGATGAGCAAGAGCTTCACTGACAGAGTGGGGAATGGAAACGGATGATAGAGATGAAACCATGGTAGAAAAAGAGGGAGATAAAGGAGAGTAAGAAAGATGATTTTGAATTGGATGTGCCGTAGTAGCATAAGAACGCTTACCCTTACGAATGGCAATAGGGAGATTAAGATCTAGAAAAGGAGAGGAGGATGATGGAATTGAATCAGAAGACTCATGCTCTGGCTGAATGGGCGATTACGAAGGGGAGGATAGTGATGGATCAGTAGGGGTCACTACAGGAAGTGTAACAGGAGGTTCCGTTGAACGACGAGAGTAGGTGAGAAGATTTGGTTGATCTAACCTAGAAGGGAGAATAGGTGGGAGAGTACTATGATTTCTAGAAGATGAAGAAGATGACTCCCTAACTGGTGGAAGAAGTGGAGAAGAGGAGCCTATAATAGGGGAAAAACCAGGTGAAAAAGACCCTATGGCAGGAGAAACTAGAGAAGATAAATGATCACCTAGTTCAGCAGAAGGAGAATGAGGGGAACAATAGGGCACTGACTCAAAGAATATAACATCTGCAGACACAAAGTAACGTTGCAAAGTAGGAGAGTAACAACGATAACCCTTTTGACGATAAGAGTAACCAAGAAAGACACATTTGTGAGAACGTGGCTCAAGTTTGTTAGAGCCAGGTGTCAAGTTGTGAATAAAACAAACACAACCAAAAATACGCCGCGGAAGTGGGTGTAAGGACTCATTAGGAAACAAGGTAGAAAAAGGAACATGCAATTAATCAAATAACATGCACATGAAAGGAACATTCATACGGAGGTAGGACTCATACGGTTAATCAAATAACATGCAGTTAGGACTGCATCCCCCCATAAGTACAAAGGAACATTAATATGAATCAATAAAGTTCTAGCCGTCTCAATCAAGTGACGAATCTTTCGCTCAGACTCCATTTTGTTGTGGAGTGTGAGCACATGAAGACTGGTGAATAATGCCATGAGAAGACATAAAAGATGTGAAAGAAGAGGAAAAGTATTCCTTTGCATTATCACTATGTAATACCCTAATAGAAGTATTGAATTGGGTGTGAAATTCAGCAAAAAAGGTAGTAAAAATATTAAAAACTTCAGACCGGTCCTTCATGAGGTATAACCAAGTCACACGAGAAAAATCATCAATAAATGTAATAAAATATCGAAAACCATTTTTCGAAGTTGTACGGCTAGGACCCCAAATATCTGTATGGACCAAAGCAAAAGGAGTAGATGCTTGCTTATCAACCCTACTAGGTGTGCTTCTCGAGTTCACAAGATTCACAAAACAGTTGAGAAGCATTTTTGACACTAGGGACCATTAACTTAAAATTAGGAAGAGAAGGATGACCAAGACG